CTCTGATTCAAGATTCCCAATGAGCTTAACATCCCAGTTTTTAAAAGAGCAGTGGAAACACAATATATTATTTTTGTTGGGAAAGATTACTGCCACAGTGTGGACAAGCAACATGCTGCAATCACACACACTGGAAGATTGAGGAGTCTAGCTGAGTGAGGAATGGAAAAGCAACCCTCAAAAGGCCACCCTTTCTAAATTATTCAACAAGTCCTTGTCACAAATATTGTCCATTGCAGCAACTACCTGTGACGCATCACTGGCATCATGCTGCTTTAGCCTCTACTCAGGCAACCATCCAACACTCAAGAGTGGAACACCCATAGAACTCATTGATCTTCTGCCTCATCTCCATCTTCATCCAAGTTTGATGTTTCTTCACCAGAATTCAAATGTAAGAGTGCCAGCATCTACTACCAACTGCTCTGTAGAAATGATCCCAGAGCAGGCTGGGGGAGAGGGGGCCAGCTGAAGACCACCCCAGGAGCTGCCCCAATTAGACTATCCCTTTGCCACCTATTTCCATTGCATGAGCTATCAAAGATCATCTGGGAATGAACCTGATGTGTTTTTGATTTGTTAACATTTTATTATATTGTACAATATGCAACATACTATTAGTTGCAAGCAAACTTGTTAGGATTTATATACTGAAAGGTGGGGTATACAGAATTGTGAAAAATAACTATGATGCCTCTGCTAATGAATACTTTGTGAAGGATTGTTATCTAAAATGTATATGTTATTATTGGATTGGGAGACAAAGGATGAGCGAGTAAAATCTTCAGTGATACATTAGGATATGGAAGTGTGGGAACTATTGTGGCATATGGATATAAAATTTACAGTATGCCATGGTTTAAGAGAAAACTATATGAAAATGTTACCTAGATGGTATCTAACACTGACTAAACTGGCAATAATGTATAAATTAAAATCGAATAAGGATTGGAAATGCAAAGAGAAAGAAGGTACTTTCTATCAGACGTAGTGGTCTTGCAGTAAGGTTAAAGCTTACTGGGAAATGATATATAATGAATTGAAAAAGATGTTTAAAATATCATCTGTAAAAAAAAAAACACCAGAAGCTTTTCTTCTGGGAATTATAGGGGAAGAACTACCTAAACAGTATAGAAATTTATTCATGTATGTGATTACAGCAGCAAGAATGTTATTTGTCCAAAATGGGAAAGAATAAGTCCCGGTGAAAGAAGAATGTATACAAAAACTTGTATACTTGTATAACTGAAAATCATAATTTAAAAAAAAAAAATACTTTGTGAAGGATTTCGGAAGTCTAAATGGGACATTTGCAAATGATGTGTGAGTGCCAGAACAGACATATACCATTCTAATTCTTGATAAATTCAGATCTGTAGATGATATCCTTATTACAAAAATGTGGTGGTGGTGTTTGGTTAAAAGCAGCTCTTAGTCATGGTCATGAAGTTACACATTAACTCCATTTGTGTAAGCTTTTTCTGGGCACTTATTGTACAACAGCAGGATAGATGCTAGATAACGAATATCAACACTGCTGCTGCTCTTTCTAGAAGCTTTCTAAGCATTTTTTTTTTAAATATAAATTAAAACCTCCATCATTCAAGAGGTGGCAGGTGGGGAAGGTGTCTTTATATAGAACCCTTGCATAATGAACAGTGTTTAATATATTTTCGGTTCCCCTGCTCCTTTCAGCCACTTTGATAGCATCACTTGTAAGGTCTTGACCAAGGTAAAGGGAGGGCATTTTAAGATTACAAACCTAGACATCTCAAGTGGGTTTTTATGTATTGTTTACTAATATTTAATGGCACTTCTAATGAACAAATCCCAGTGGTATTTAATGTTTACCGAAGAATACTGCATTCAAAATGTCTGGTGCCTATTTAATTGCTTTTTGTAGTCAATTTCCCTACCCCTCAAGGCTCATTAGTTTGTCACCTAATCATTCCACACAATACTGTGCCCTCTGTTTTCCCTTCTGTTCCTTGCAGGGGCATATAGTTACAGCTCCAGCATTAACGTCCCTTGGTTGCAACCACTGCGTTCCTTACCTTTAAAATGAAAAGAAAACAACAGTTCTGAAAAATGGGGGGCTTGCAGTTATATAACCGTGAACTTTAATCATTTGCATTAGTATTATATTTTATAGTTTGTTTCTTTGGTCTGGGTTGCACAGCCGGATCAGCTCAACCATGGCTTACTGTGACTGTGTGCTAAAGCATGGCCTCCTGTAGAGGAGCTTGCAGCTGCTTTGCTCCTCTACCCAGTCCTTTGCATTCCAGCACTGCACTCACCTAAGCCAGGGCTTGGTTTACTATGGCATGGTTTTCTCTTGTCCTGACTTGCACTGGATGAAAAACTCAAACTTGGGTTACAATTTCTGCAAAAGAAGAAGCAGCTTTAATGCTCAATTCAGTATTGTACAAAGGCATAGCACAGGTCAAAAGTACAACATGCATAGCTAAGCAAGCTAAGATGTTGATTACACCCCTTAGACTCTTGTTAGAAAGCAGTGGGGTAGGCATGGCTTTAGTGTGGCAAACAGAATGCATCTTTTGACCGGGCAAGCAAGCAGATACCCTCCAAGTGTCCTGATTTTCAAGGGACAGTCCCTGAATTACAAAAGCCATCCCAGCTTCTGATTTGCTCCTGGAATGGCTCTATTTCCTCTGCCAGTGCCATTGCTGCCAGGTTCAGGGAGGAGGGTGAGGCAGCACTTGTTCTGAGCAGTGGTGGTGAGGGAGCATCCCATTGCCTCTCCACAACCTTTCCATGACTGCTGCTGCCGGCCTCCTTCCCTGGGCAGCTTATAGTGGCTGCTAAAGAGAAGGCAAGGAGGAGGAGAGGCTGCAGTCACCAAGATCCAGTCCCACGTCTAAGGGGTAGGCAGAGGGCATAGGGCAGGGCTGCCCTAGATGGGAAGAACGGGGGAGCAGAGCGGAGTGGAAGGAGTCTTGATTAAAAAAAATAATGCTCTGTGCATCAGTGTCTCATCTTGCCCCTTTCTAAAACGTATTCATTGGTGGGTATTTTTCTTTTTGTAAATCTCCAAAAAAAATGAAATAAAATTAGGATTGAGGGGTTTTCTCAGGACAGTGGAGGGTGTGTGAACTGTGTCCCATTGGTCTGGTGGTTATGGCTTCTTCCAATAGGAAATGCTCTGTGTGGGTGGGGACACAAAAATGGGGGGGGGGTTGAGAAGTGTCAGTTGGGCAGGAGTGATAGATGTGCTTCTTTTCATCTGAGGAACATCCCTGGACAACTCTGATGCCTTGTAGGGCCTGGACATATCCCAGCCCAGCCCAATGGACCACCCCCCGCAGATCGTTCTCCTCCAACTCCTCCCATCCCTTATATCCTGATCCCACCCCTACCCCCCTCCAAGAAAGAAAGCAGCACACAGCACATCATTAAACTGTGGAACTTGCCCCCAGAGGAGGAAGTGTTGGCACCAGCCTAGATAACTTTAAAGGAGGATTAATAGAGTAGAGGGGTATTGAAGACTGCCAGCCAGGATGGCTATGATCTGCCTCTGCAGCTGGGTGCAGTAATGATTCTGTATATCAGTTTCTGGAAACCACATAAAGAAAGAGTGTTCTTGTGGTCGAATCCTGCCTGTGGGCTTCTCATATGCATCTGGTTGGCCACTGCAAGAACAAGACGCTGGACTAGAATGGGCCACTGACCTGATTCAGCCAGCTCTTCTTATGTTCTTTTGTCTCCATGGGACTCATGAAATCACTCATCCTTAACCACCTGTTTGTTTTGGTATGATGCTGTCCTTGAAAAAGCAGCCCAAATTTAGAACAAAGCCAATTCCAGGATGAATCTGGCACTTGGGTGTCTATTAATACATCTGCATCTAGCATTGACAATGAGCTAAAAATATCAATACAATATCAGCAAGCCAAACAAAGTCTATTCACAGCATGCCACACGATCCTTTATTCCAATGAGATAAGTATCTTTCATAGCCGACTTGCGAGACTCAATACTAGTTTTTATCAGGAAATCATGCAAACTGCTTGAGACAAGAAGAAGCAAGGAGCAGCTCATAACAAGCAGAGCTTTTAAAAAACGCTCTTTAAAACTGACAGATCGGAAAGAAAAGAAAGGAAACGGATCTTGAGGAGGAGATTAAAAACTAATTTCTGCTCAGGTCTCTTTTTTACAAAAAGAATTGTTTACTGGAATAGACAGCTCCTACACCATTATCATAAATCTTGGCTGAAAATATATATGACAAGCATTTCCAAACTGGCTGGACTACAATATAAATGGCTTATGCCCATTTTAGAATCTTTATGTGCATGGTCTGGTGCTTCAATTAAAATTAATATATTTAAGTGTGAGCACTGGAGGTCCCAGAGTTCATTCACACATACAAATTTTCAGGTGTGGATCTACAGGAATCAATATTTTGAGAGTGGGGGACTGAGTAACTATAAATTAAAACATGGATTTCGTATACTTACATATATAGGGAGGAATCCTATGCACCAGAAGTTAGCATAAAGCAAGCCAGCATAAATTAAGCTGGTGTTAAGTAACACCAGATCCAAACCCCATTCAGCAGCAGGACAGCTGTTCTGCCTAAGCCCGGCACAAGCAAAACGAGTCTTTAAAGTAGTTTTCTATGCTGGGTTGCCAGGTCAGATGAATGGGCTGAGGATCCCCATTCTATGGTACTGTCCCCCATGCCCTGGAATACCCCCTTTGGAAGGGAAAATGGAGAGCAAGGGTGCAGAGCAGTTTTCATACATTCCTCAATAAATAGTACAGCTTGATTTTGTCAAATATACTTGCACGCCATTAAATTTGTCTAAGATGCTAAATATATAGCTTTATACTATGCTGCCAAGTAGTAAACACATATTTCTGCACTAAAAAGAAGTTTCTATGAAGTTCAAAATACTGTGCATTTCAAGAATGGAGCACTACATGAACACAGTGACCTCTGCTGGCATACTGAAAACAAAAGTTCTTAACAGGTAATATTTGAATAGTTAAAACATTTATACACAAATCAGGTGTACCAAAAGGGAAACATAAATGCCAGATGTAGCACTCAGAAGCTGCAGAAGTCTCAAAGATCTCCTCCGTCCCAGTCTCCTTATTATAGTCCCTAAGGTATGAAAGAAAACACTGAACACCCTGTTTGTTGTTAAGCCACTGAAAGAAATGTTAAAAACAGGGAATATAATAATAGTCCTTCTCAGAGGAAGGGAAGTTTTAATTAAGGATGGCAACTTACTTTTCAAGATGTTGCACTTTGTAGGCCTCCAATATCACACTCAATTTTGAGAGTTTTCCTGGTAGCAGCTTTTGTTGACTCAACATCTAGGAAAACACTGGTAGCAGCTCTCCAGGTTTTCAGTTCAGGGCATTCCTAGCCCTACCTGGAGGTTTCCAGTGATTGACTTTCTGCATGCAGAGCAGATGCTCTACCTCTAAGCTGTGGCCCTTCCCCATTTCCCATCAGGAAGGCATATGATAGCAGTGGGTTTATTCAACTCCCCATTTTTTATGTCATTCAACATGTACCTGCTGAAAACCAGATCACTATTATTAATACATTGGATCAAGGCTACCATTAATTCTCTCTCAGGCTCTTTGCATTCTCTAACAAATCAATGATTCACGCTAGCACTCTTTCTGTTGCTTTGTGAAGCTCCTCTTAATAAGCTATTCACCCAGTGATCCATCATTCACAGAAAGAGTGAGAAGCTGTATAAAGGAATCCTCTTCCAAAGTCCAAAATTTTAAAAGGGAAAGTTGTTAATGCAAAATCTGGAATATGGTTCTTTACATATTCACCAGCCACTGAAACATCAAGGAATGACCCACCATTTCCCAGTCTCTAATCACTTAGCATGGTAACAGGTGGGATTTTTGTCTTCTCCAGTCACCAGGGTTCAAATACCGAGAGATCAGCCTCTGCTGATCTTAGCCCCCAAAGGTGCCTAGCACAAGATTTAAAATCAAAGCACATACATTGAAGTAGGGGTGGCCAATCCTTTTTTTTTTCCCTGTCAGGGGCCACATTCCTTCTGTTAGGGACTGCAGGGAACACCAGTGATGGGTGGAGTCATGTTCTGCATCTGCATTAACTGATCTGTAATAAAGGCCACTCTGCTTCAATTTTCATCATGGCTACCTCATATTAGAAATTCCAAACATACGCTGGTCTAGTCAGAAATATGCCCCAGTGGGTTTGATGTGTTATTCTTGTATACATTAGTAGTAGTGGTAAAATGGACGAATGTAGTTACTGTTCTTGAAAGCAAGGGAAAGTAATTCCTTTCCGACTTTAGTGTGCTACACACAACTACCAGAATGGCAAGAAACAAGGAGGAGCGAACAGAAAGGAAAGAAGGAATAGGGCAGTTTCAAAAGGCATCAGGGATTCACAAAAAAAGATCAAGAGTTGCAAGTGAGTAATCTGTGTTGCATTGCCAGATGTAAACTATAGAGCAAATCTTCAGCTGGCACAAGATATACACTGAGAACCAGTGAACTACAGAGAATTCTTGTCAATTGTGGCAAACAATGTTAAACAATTAAATTATTGCTACTGATACATTTGGACATTTGCAATGTGCCCAAGTTCAGAAAATTCAGACGTTATGGCTCCTGTGGCAACTGCACATTTGGCCCATTTATGAATGTGTTTCTTTCTATATCACGTTCTACACGCCTGAATTTACGAGTTGAAACACATGCTGTCAATTCATTTTATGCTTGCTTTGGGTACTCTAAGTTTAGCTGTCGTGCCTCACGTGTGCTTTAATGGAAACTTATGGCACAGAATTTAAACAACAAAAGGGAAGGAAATTCATAATTACACATTTCACAAAGCCCATGATTCAGGGCACTGCAAGATACAGATTAAGAAATAAATTTTACAGAACAAAGATACTGCATATTACACATGCACAGTGGGGGCCAAGCGATGGATGCAGCAAAGAACAAGACAAGCGGTTTTATGTTTTCAATGCATCCTAAAAATCAGTAATCCACTTACAATATACTGACAGCTTCCCTACCCAATTAAAAAAAAAAAATGTTTTCACAAACACGACTCATTTGATTACACAAATTAAATACCATTTAGAGCTCTTTGAAACATGATTTTTTTACACTTAATCATATAGCTCACCTCACTTTTGTCACCCCTGTCCTTCCAACTCTTCCCTACCACCTCTCCCAGTCTTTTCTGTTTCCCCTTTTCTGAGTTCCTATTTAATTCTGTTTTGGCTAAGAATGGGTGCCTCCCTGCTTTCTCACTGGTCATCGCTAGTGGCACACTGTGTTTGGAAGCCAGGAGAGCAGTGGTGCCCCCCAAAATGTGGAAAGCTGGCTTAAATCCATGGCCTCCTCTTGCAGTGTTGAGAAACAGAATCCATGCCACAGGGCTTGTGTGACGCCAGCATTGTTCGCTACAAGAACAAAGGTGACCACGATGACTGTAACAACTACTGTGGCATCTTTCTGCTGAGGGAAAGCCTTTGCCTGTGTAGTTCTCAACAGGTTACAGTCACTTGCTGACAAGGTCTATCCTGAGTCATAATGCAGTGTTATGAGCTCAGAGGTCCATAGTCAACATGATTCTCTCACTGTGCCAGCTGCAGGGGAAATGCCAGGAGCAGAGATGCCCCTTGTACATTGCTTTCATGGTCCTGATGAAGGCCTTGGACCTAGTCAGCCGAAAAGGGTCCTTCACACTGTTCAACAATACAGGATGCCCACCTATGCTTCACAAGATGATTGAATCTTGTGTGGCACCACTCACTATGATGGCTCATACTCACTACACCTATAAAGAGCAGTGTGAAGCAGGGGCTGTGCTCTCACCCCAACTCTCTTTGGCATTTTCTTCCCCCTGGTGCTCTCTTATGCCTTCAGCTCGACTGAAGACAGTGTGTACCATAGGAGCCAACTCCTAGGGGCCAAGGTCACTTCAACCCCCCCAATAAAATATTTGAGGGGGCCTCCCCCCCCAATTGATAAGCATTGTCATTCAAATGGTGTGTGTGTGCACGCTGCGTCCTGTGGTCGATCACCTGCCCCCCATTTTTTATTCAAGTTGGCACCCCTAGTGTGTACTTTCATTCAAGTAGCAATGCGGATTTGTTCAACTATATGTTCCTTCCCTTCAAACCTTCCTGGTTTTGACACAGGGGACCTTCCTGGCTGTTGCACCACCCTCAGAAACTTGGGAGGGGGTGGCCCATAAGTTCCCACAGAGGTGCATCTGGCAATTTCATTACACAGTTTTTGGCAAATGTTGAAGAGGCACCTCTTTACTCCTAGCTTTCATCATGTGTGTTTGTGGGGGGGTATGTGGGGGGAGTGGGGGTGTATGGACCCCCATTATTTCTGTTATTGAGATTTGTTTTAAATTGTTTTTTCTGTTTGTTTTTAATTGTAGCAAACCACCATGGAGAGATAAGTGCTGAACCACATCTGCCATGTTCAAAATCTGTGTGCTACTTTATAAAGCAGCTGAATCAGAAATATCATTGCATGTAGCTGTGATTTTATAACATTTCATTCGGAATTCCCTTTCAATTTCCTCCCTTGCCAGTTGACAGCTTTAATAAATAATTTAAACCGCTAATATATAAAACATTTGCATCTGCAATGTATACCGAGTTAGGGGAATGGTGCCTGTCGCCTCTGATGGAACTGGGATATACTTCTACTCTCCAGAGGGGTAGTTCGTTTCATCTTAGGAGCAGCCCAGAATAATTTTACACTTGCCAAATAAAGAGCTGCCCAGCATGACCGGCTTTGAGATGAAGGGGTTGAAGCAAGCTGCGTAAGATGCAGGGCAGCAGGAAGGGTAATGGGTTAGCTTCTTGCCTGAAAGGTGACACGCCTTTTGTGGATTGCTGAGGTTTCTGGACTCACTCCAATTTAACAGCTTCAGCTCTTCTTTCTACCTGCATGTGGGTTTGTATTTGCCAATTGAGAGCAACACTTCATAGATCTGACAAAGCAAGCTCTGACCCAATACAGCTTTTGTTGCAATAAATCTATTAGCCCAATCTTTGCCAACCTGGTTCCCTCTAGATGTTTCAACTCTCATCAGCTCCAGCCAGCCCAGCTGATGGGAGTTGAACTCCAAAACAAATCAAGGACACCAGGCTGTGTTGTCCTTTAAGGCATAAGAACAGAGAAGTCATCAGCTGGATCAGGGCAATGACCCATCTAGCCCAGCATCCTGTTCTCACAGTTGCCTGCTAGATGGCTATGGGGAGCCTACAAGCAGGACCCAAACATAATAGCACTCTCCCTTCATCTGGTTTCCAGGAACTGGTATTCAGAAGCATTACAGCCTCCAAATGTGGAGAAGAAGCAACATCACCATGGCTAGTAGCCCTCAACAGCATATGTCATTACATTCACTTCTTCACACAGTGCAGAGCAGTTAAAAAAGGAATTTGCTGCCATCATCTGTGGTGAAAACATTCTGAAAATACTCCCATTCTCTCAGCAAATAATTTCAGGTTTAGGCCTAAAAGTTGGCCTGCTAGGCCATGCCTGACCCTAAGCCTGACCCTCAATTCTTCATTTTCAGTCAAAATTCTGTTTGTTTGTGTTTTAAAAATGATGCCAATTCTTTCAGTTGCCTGACTGCTTAAGACCGTATGATATCAGGTGAGTGGCTTCATCCCTCCTGTCAGAGTGACCCACAAATGTCTCACCACTTCTGGATCCAGGCCTCCAGTTGGATCCAATTTCCTACCTCTTCAACTTCTATTATATTTTGGGGGGTTTTCACTTTAAATTGGAAGTCCTGGAACTGAAGGACAGCTTATATAATTGAAGACACACAGGCACCCAGCCCCTTATGAGTCTGAGATGAAAGTCTTCAAAATTAAAAATGCTTCTGGGAAGAAATTGATTGAGAATGGTTTTAAAATACTATAAATTAACTCTGAAAAGTACACTTAGGTTGTAAATGATCACCTATCAAAAGAGGTTTGCAGAAGCCTTTGATGCTTCAGTGGGTGACGACACCAGCATATTGCATAATAAAATATAATTTTACTCATTCAAACTGCAGTTTTTGGTCATTATTTTGGCCATACTTAAGAATCTGAAAAATAAGCAGTAGCAGCTGGTGATGCAACACAAGTTGAGTGCCATTGCTCTTGCTGGCTTCCCAATGCAGCAGTTCACTGATGCTTGCCAGGAGTGAGATGGGAGGAGGGAGGCATTAGGAGCTGGTCTTGGTGTGCCGCATGGTGGCAGGAGTTATTGGATTGGTCTCACCATCACACACTGCTCTGTGATGACCTCCCCACACCTCATCCCTCACTCCCCTTTGTTACGATATGAATGCAACGCAGCTGCAAACCAGCTCGGTGAAAACATCACATGATGGGGCTGACTGTGGGAAACAATGTTACAGTCAGTTCACAGGGCGATTCACCGGAATTTGCTCAGTGTGTAATATGAGACCTTCCTGTTGTGTTTGTAAAGGACGTCTTCGTCACTTGCTTGCTGAAGTCTGAAGTGATCGGACATGTTTTCTGTAGTGCTGCAAAGTCAGAAATAAAGAGATGTAAATAGATTTCTGGCTATCTCCTTTCCCTGCTAGGGAAGCAAGGAGGGAGGGGGTGTGCATTTTCCACGCTGGGAAATGTCGCCTATATCAATATCTTCCTGGACTTGCGGGGATGCCGGCCAGGGAGGTCACCGGTAAACAAGCCGAGAGCCTGGGAGAGGGGCCAGACTCTCCCGAAGAGGCTTGTTTTCCAACACCCTTCACCCTCTGTAAGAACCAGTGACTCATTGTGTTGGGAAGCTCGAAAGGCAAGGATGCCCCCACCCATGCCACTGTTGGGATGCATCCAAGGAAACGGGGGCAATTTGCAAGCACCCAGCTGGCCCTAGCCCACCAGCCAGTAAGCCAGGGAGATCTCCAGTCCTTGCAGAAGCATCAGCGACCCCAGCCCACTGGCTACTGAAAATAAAGGTGGTATTGTCAGGGACTGGCAGGGCTCTAAAGCCTCTGAAAATCTGTTTCTGAGGAATCACAACTGAGGGCTGTTGCACATGGGCTTCCCAATGGGGCATCCGATTGCCCACTGTGAGAACAGGATGCTGGTCTAGATGAGCCTTTGGCCTGATCCAACAGAGTGGTTCTTAGGTTCTTATGCTTTCCTCCGTTTGTTTGTTTCTTAAAGTGAAAATAGCATAACATGTAGTTTGGTCCTCAAAGGACATATGTCATAAAGACACCACACATTTAGAGCACATGCGTTCTCACGAAGACTCCTGGGACATGTAGTCTGTTAATTGTAGCTTTACAAAAGGTACACACAGTTCCCGGGATTCTTTAGGGTGGGAAGTCGTGTGCTTCAAATGTATGGTGTGTATGCCGTCTATTTTACCCAGTATGAGAATGAAACAAGCAAGGTCTTAAACACTGTAGTACATTGGTTTGCAAAAAGTGGTTGGAATAAGAGTAAAGTATGATGTTTCTTGTAGCCTTAGGAAAAACTCTTGGGGGGGCACAGAGGAAAAAGACCCAAGAGATTTGAATGAACTGGCATATGACAGAGCAAGTTTCTTTGCACCTACCTGCACATGTTCCTTCCATTTTTATAATGTTTTGTTTTGTTTGCAACTTGCATAGTGGGAGTGACAACAGAATTGACAGATTGCAGCAGGAGGATGGGCAATATGGTCTAAATATCAAGTACCCTTACCCTTTATTTTGCAGCTTACTTAGTGAGCTAACAGCAAAAATAATGAACTGAACATAATGTTGCAGAAGATGGCATTGAAAGCCCCCATATGGGCAGGCTGCTATTGCTAAAGATGGAGGTGTAAGGTGTTGGGGGGGGGTCCACAAATCTTGAAATTCTTTGGGATTTGTAGTTCAGCAACTGTTGGATGGCCACAGGTTACCCATCCCAGACCCAAGGACTTTACAGAGGTTGCTATGAAATTGAGGCATACCTTAAGGTAGCATTAAGATGATAGAGGGTCATGGCTAAGTGGTAGAAGGTCCCTAGTCTTCCCATCTAGGGCTGGGAAGATTCCTCTCTGAAATACAGGATAACTACTGCAAGTCAGCCTTCCTACTCTATATCATCCATATGTTTCAGACAGCAGTACTAATCAGCCTCAGCCAACATGATCAATGGTCAGGGATGATAGAAATTGTAATCCAAAACATGCAGAGGGCACCAGACTGGTGAAGGTTGGGATATATGGATAGTGCTGTCTCTCCCACAACACTAAAAGTCTATCTCTCAGCAGACATACTCACTTTTGCTGGGACAAGTGGGAAAGAAGCACCTGAAGGCCAAGAAGGAGGTGCAGGCAAGCCTGCAAGTGGATGCAAGTAGACAGTCACCAGCATGTTTACTCACAACTGAGTTGCAATGCAGACATTGGGGTGAACTGACAGAGGACAGGCCACAAGGGAAAAGCCACAAGGGCCATATCCAATGAGCTGCATGCCCATATTGAGCAGTTGACAGAAGCAAAACTGAATGAAACAATAGATGTGACTTACATTTGTATAAAATCACAGAGTTGTAGAATTGGAAAGGACTCTGAGGGTCATCTCAGCCAGACCCCTTGCAATGCAGGAATCTCAACTAAAACATCCATACATTTTGGCTATGCAAAAGTATCAAATTTCTAAATAAAAACACACGTATTTAATCCAGGCAAGCAAGCAACCTTATCACAGCTCAAGGGGACATTCCAGTCGGACAACAGGAGTTTTAGGAGGGATTGTGAGAGGCATGGCCTGAGGAGAATCCTAAGTGCCAGAAAGCAGTATCTGGGGGCTATATATGACTACCTTCCCAAGACCTGATGTTTCCTACCATTTTCCTAAATTTAAGTGACTGGGGGAAAGCAGGAGGTCAAGGGTAAAAGAGCTGAAACAAAGATAGCTGAAAAACAAGCTACGTCTGGCATGTGCACATATATGTACACAGGTGAGTCATTATTGCAGCAGTAGAGAAACTTCCATGATTATTCAATAAGAAGGAAGGCAAAATATGAACCCCCCAAGGGAATGATACGCCATCTTCCTTTCTTGGCAGGAGAACGCCATGCTCAAAATGTCATTTCTGAAAGACATTTGGAATTGGAATTGTAAACAGTGGAAAAGGAGAGTGCTGTATCAGGGAAAGATCAAAAGGATACATTAACTCCTCTGCTGGGTACCTGCTATGCAGTTAGCTTGAAACCACACTCTGGAGCATTCCAAGCAATTCTGCTACAATGAATGTAAAATGGCTATCACCATGTGGTAGCTGGAATTTTATGTAGATGCTCTTTGCAAGGTTTGAAGATAGGGCACTTTAGTCAGTCATTTTAGCCAGTCATTTTAAATAGCAAAATGCATTAAACACACACACACACACACACACACACACACACACTGTGACTAAAATAAAATTAGGGACTTCAAATGTAAAATGTTTCTGTATTGTTCAATTACGTAACTGGAGATGTTCAATTTCATTAAAACATCTAGAAAGCAAATGGTTTTGTAAAAAGCTTTATATGACGAGCATGGCATTTAGAACGATGCTATCAAACACACACACACACAAACACTTTTTTCTGAACTTATAAATAGCAAAACAGACTACATCAAAGTACTGACAATATTCGTGGTTGCATTGTTTGCATTCAGGATTATTTGCATTCAGAAAGGATAGACATTTGTTTTCAAGTCTACAAAAATATATGCACAGACCAGTCTTCCCCAACCTGGCATAAGAATGTAAGGACAGCCTGCTGGATCATCTTACCCAGCATACTGTTCTCAGAGCGGCAAACCAAATGCCTGTGAGATGGGAAATTTTGGAACAAGAGGGTGACAGATTAAAACTGCAGAGCTTTGAAAAATTAAAAAACAGAGAACGAGATTGGCTCCATTATTATCAAATAATGGAGGCATATAACTTGGATAAAAAACTAGGCTTCCAGGTGAAAAAATCAAAATTGGAAACAGAATTGTTAGACCCTAAAGTTAAGAATTTGTCAAGAACGTATAACTTGCTGTTGAAATGGAATACTCAAGATGAAATGGTGAAATCTGCTATGATTAAATGGGCACAAGATGTTGGACATAATATTATGATGGCTGACTGGGAACAGTTATGGACCACTGGTATGAAGTTTACGGCATGTAATGCCTTAAAAGAGAAGTTAATGAAAATGATTTATAGGTGGTACATAACACCAGTCAAGCTTGCAAAAATCTATCATCTGCCCGATAACAAATGTTGGAAATGTAATGAAACTGAAGGTACATTCTTTCACCTTTGGTGGACATGCCCAAAGATTAAGGCATTCTGGGAGATGATCTATAATGAAATGAAAAAGGTATTTAAATATACCTTCCTGAAGAAACCAGAGGCCTTTCTCCTGGGCATGGTCGGCCAATTGGTGCCAAAGAAGGATAGAACCTTCTTTATGTATGCTACAACAGCAGCAAGAATACTTATCGCAAAGCATTGGAAGACACAAGATCTACCCACCAGGGAAGAATGGCAGATGAAACTGATGGACTACATGGAACTGGTGGAAATGACTGGCAGAATCTGAGACCAGGGAGAAGAGTCGGTGGAAGAAGATTGGAAAAAATTTAAAGTATATTTACAGAAACATTGTAAAATTAATGAGTGTTAGAAGGATGCTGGAATGAAGCTATATGGTTTTAGTAGAAATGTAACAAAGAATTAAGTAAAAGCTGACTGATAATGGGCCAAAATGAAAAAATTTAAGGTTAGACCATTAAGATAAATTATAGAACAAAAATCGAGAAAGATGGAAAGAATTTGCTGAAATAGTGAACTGAACCAGAATACAAAAAAAGGGAGGTGTGAGGAGGTCAATGAAACAAGTAAAGGAAAGGTAAAGATATGGAATATTGTTTGTGTGTTTTAGTTTTGTTTGTTTTTTTGTTTTGTTTTTTGCTGTATTGCTGTATTGCTTTTTTTTATTGTTGTCTTTTTTTCTTTTTTCTGTAATCTTTAAACTTCTAATAAATATCATCTAAAAAAAAACACACACAAAAAAAAACAAATGCCTGTGAGAAACCCACAAGCACAAGCCAAACATTAGAGAACTCTACCCTTCTGTCATTTCCAGCCACTCAGAAGCATTACTGCCTCTGACAGTGGGGGTAGAACATAGCCTCACCCTCCATGAATTTGCCTAATCCTTTTGAAGTTGGTGGTCATCACTGACTGATGAGGGAGCGTGTTCCATAGTTTAACCATGTGCTGCATGAATAAACGATTTCCTTTATCTGCCTTTAATGTTCCAACATTCAGTTTCATTGGGTTCTGGTGTTAGACTGGTTGGGGCTAGGTGGGACTGTTGGGAGATGCAGTACTCTAAAAACATCTGGAAAACTGTGTGGCATTTTGGTTTTGTTTGGAAAAGCTGTACAGAAGACCACACACAAATATAGCCATGCATACAGAACTCAGTCACTCCAAACAAGTGAGGCACATAATTTTAACACTGAGATTGCCAACATGACACCCATGGGCACAATGGCCTTGAGGCCCTCCCTTGGCGCCCATGTTACATCCGAGCCTCTCCCCTCACCAACAGGAATGTTTGCAAATAACATATATACTCCATGGAATTGGGGTTCAACAGGTGTTCCACATAGATTCGGCTCTAAAATCCAGCACCTGTTGGCACTATACCCTTTCTTACAATCCTAGAATTGATTAAGCCTCACCCCCACCTCAATCAGCAAGAATTGCAGGATTTTGGGGGGTTTTTTTAAAGGCTCTGTGTGTGCTTCAGTAGACCAGGATGATCAAACAGTAGCATTCATACATTCAATGCTAGCACAGAACCTGGGCATTTTTTTATTTGTTTGTTTGTTTGTTTCGGGCACCAAGGTCTTTTCTATACCACAATACAGAGGAATACAGCTGCAACAGACATGTGACTCTTTCATACACAAGGACACATTTTATAACCATATCAAAGTTTCTATCCATTGCTTCTTAGCATGAACTTACTGCAAAAATAATTGCAATACTAGAAAACTATAACTTTTATGTTTAATATATTTACATTATGCCATATTGATAATGTTTGGAAGGTAGCTTACAAAATCCTGAAATCCCCTAACCTACAAAAGACAGTGTAGTGTAGTGGTCAAAGCAGGTCTGCAGAATGGTTTTCAGCTCAAAGGCCTGATTGTTTCAAAGCCTTCCTGGGTGCAATTTGACACCATTTTGAATCAAGATGGTGGGCTGAACCTTTCAAAACTGCACTGGTTTTAACAACCAATTTCAAAACTGGAGATTATTTTTGGTTTCCTAGAATTCCCAAGCAACACTGGAGACAAAAACAAAAACATGAGAACAAAGCAAATTAAAGCCACTCTAGTAATGTATCTTCACAAGTGTCATAATTAACAGAAAAGCTTTCATCATTTTCTTTCAATTTGATTTGCATGAGGGAAATCTGAATATTAGATCTACTATTAATCATGAGCTGCTTTTATTTGCCCTGTTTATTGCTTTGATCTTTTATTTTAAATGCTGGTTTGTAAGCTGCTTCTCAAGGAGGGATGGAGAAGAAATTCTTATTTAAAGGGAAATCTATCCAATCTAAACTTTCCGAAACAACCCAACGCACATAAATCCTTTGAAATTCTCTCTCCTCCAAATTTTGTGATGCACTTCTCCAGCCAAGCAATGTGTACAAAAATGCATATATTAGTGAAAACAACATATAAAAGTATTTTGCAAAACTATGCAGATTAGGAGAAATATGCACTAAAATGCTAGTGAATTTTCATAAGCACTTAAAAAAAAAAACTTATGTGGAATAGTAAAGTCTTAGGCATTGAAAAGCAAGAAACAGAAAGAAACCAAAATTGGCAGATTCGCAAATTCCTTGTCTCCAATACTTTTTTCTTTGTGCTTTGGAAAGCTGTTTTAGCTCTTGCTGCGTGGGTGAAAAGTTGCAGGACCAAGAAAGGACAACAGCACCCCAATTCCATGTACAGACTCCAACTACACTAGCACTTTATTTCACAAAGGTTATTGGGGGGGGTGTTTCCACACACTCCTGTCTCCTCACCTCAAGGGCAGGCACACAATAGGTCACTCCTCCAATATCTCATTGCCATTCCCTGAACCTCAATCACTCAAATGGTAAATGGACCACACAGGGGGCCCAATCAAATCACAACTGTGATGGAATTATTCCTTTCTATCTTTTTTATTTTCCTTGTCTAAATTTTATTTATCAGATCTGATTCATCAGATTTCTATCCTGCCCTTCTTCCTCCCAAAGGGGCCCAGTTCTCAAAATGTTTGAGAAGTTGGGGGACAGAATTCATCACAGAACTAGTTTCAGTTCAGTCCACTTTATCAAGTTCATTCAAAATTTCATCCCTGTCTTCTGAAGTTTTAACTATCCCTTCAAGTTTTGTGCTATCTGTAAATTAGAGATTTATTTGTGTAATACATAAAAGTAATTGCTCTCTCTCCAGCTGGATGAGGAATCACCAATGAGCACACCAGGTCTTAATCTGATGTCATTCTCATATAGCATTTAACCAGTCTGCTAACAAAAGTCATGGAGAATGTTATTAAAATAGAGGTAAATTACATCCACAGCATTCCCGCAATCAACTAACTGGATTAGCCAGCCATTATATATTCTTGGCAAACGTATGTTGACTTCTACTAATCACGGCATTGCAACCAGAATGTTTATAAACTGACTCCACTGTAATCTGCTCTAGTATATTTCCCTGTATCAAAGTCACACTGGAAGTCTTTAGCGTCACTGATTTTTCCCTCTATTTGGAGATTATGACAACTTTGCAAGCCTCCAAGGTCCTTAAAAAGATCTATCAAGAAGACACTCCCCTCTCTCCTTTTCCCAAAATGTAACTAACTGAAAAACCTTGCTTGTGGCACTCAGAAATGTTCACCTGGACTTCATTAGCCCACCCTTCAAAGTGCCCTCCAAGAGTTGTGAACTGCAACATGTTCATAAATTATGTTCATTCAAATGCTGCCAATCACAAGCAAACTAAATATGTAGATCAGCTGCAGCTATCCAATTTATGGCATACTTTTCAATGTGACTTTCAGAGCTAGAACTCGTTATTCAGCCCTACAATGATCACACTTTTGAATTCTCTCAAGGTAGCGCCCCCCCCCCCACAACACATGCTGAATTACACACAATTCATCCATAGCGGGGGGGGGGGGGTAAACATAATAAGCCTTCCCTATTTGGGTTAGGCCACACCCACCTGCCCCATACCTGTTGTCAGCTAAAAATCTGATTCACCCTAAAGGGGGTAATTGTGGGCACTGCCAATCAGCTGACTGAAAGGGCTCTGCAAGATCTAGCAAAGCATTCCACAAGCCATCACTTTGAAAGAGGATTCTGATTGCCAGGTCTTGCGAAGCACCTTGCAAGACAAGTCCAGAGTTATAAAAGCTGCCTGGCATCATTGTGACCTCAAATGATTGTCACCCAGAACACTGAGCCAGGAGGACAAATGGTCTGACGCACTATAAGGCAGCTTCCTATGTCTCAAATGTCAATACAAAAGAAACTGTGCCCTAAGTATCAAATGTTTAAGCAACACTGTATAAAAGCTATGGAAGGGGAATAAATTTGCTTGGTTTAACTCAGGGGTGGGGAACATATGGCCATCCAGCTGCTGCTGGACAACAACTCCCATTATCTTTGACTATTGACCATGGGTTGATAGACTGACTTCAACAACATTGGAAGGCATCCTCCTTCTCTGGTTTAACATAGCTAATTCAAACCAATGCATAAACTGAAGCACAGCTATCCTTCAAAACTTGTGCTTTTCCGTACTGATTGATCCAGGTCCCCAACCAAAAAACTGCATACAAAATATGTATGTTAGTGAAAATAGAATGCAGAAAAGCAACCTGCTTGAAGATGTTGCTTGCCGAAAGAAAATGCATTATTTTTGTTTTCACTTTTTGAAGAAACAAGTGCGATGTGAAAATGTGACAACTGAACTTACGACTGCAGAAATGAGAAACTGAAATCAACAGATTCATCTATTCCTAATTAAAGCCACAAGTTTACCATCCCCATATTTGTCTGTTCAGTAAAATAAATTATCTTAATATCAGTCTATCTTTCAGCTCCCAAACTTCACTACCCGCACACCTAAAAAGTATATGAATTAAATGGGAGAGGTAAAGGGGAAAAAATCCAATCTTTATGTTTTCATCCAGTAATCATGCCTGAATGAAATGCAACATTTGGTAGACCACAGAAAGCAGTAAATGAGAAGTTCAAGGTTGACTGTACAATTTCAGCTCTGGCCACCTGTGCATAACCTTTACAATACAGCCTTTCAATTTCTGGTTCATAAGTTATTTTAGCAGTACATGTGTTATCACAAGTTGCACTGTATTTCTGTTTCAGAGAGGCATGACACCTTTACCTAAAAGCAAGCTTTCATTGTGCAATAAATGCATATGCTTAAAAGCCACCTACTGTGCAAAGTCACCTGTTGCGTTAAAAAGAGGGTCATGTTCTAACTGTTAATGAACTTCTGCAGACATCTTGGAATTTAATAAGTCATGCTAGTTTTAAGATTTCCAGATAACAAGCATTTTAAATCACTCAGGTTAGAAAGGGCGTTTTAGAGCTGGGATACCAGCCCAATTCTTTTCAGAAGTTCTCTAAACCACTTGGGTAAATTTGCAGAGTTCTTTTTGGTTTCTGTTGTTAATGCCACATTGATTTTTAACTTCTCTCAGTTTGGCTATACCATAGTATTTAAAATGTGTCATGCACAGCTATACCACACTGCCTATCTGCCTTTGGCACTCAGACAATGGAAGGCATTCTGGTAAGCATGCGCTCCGTGACCCAATTTGGTCAACCAGCTGCCACACAGCATTTTAGAAAGGGAGAAGATAGATACCATATCAAGGTTTCTCCCAAACTTTCCAAGAGTCTGGGCTCTCTTAATTTGTTCAAAGCCTCCCTGTGTCCTACTGCAGATATGGCCAATGTAGTTATCCAGCTACAACTCACATCAGCTCCAGCAAGCACAATGAATGCGTCTGGGATGGTGGCAGTTGCAGGCCAACAAGGTCTGGTGGTCGTTGTGGTCAAACATTTACCAACCTTTAAGGAACATACAAAGCTGCATTAGACCAAGTTAGACACTGGTCTTTCTAACTCAGTAGCATCTGCACAGACCGACAGCAACTTGCCATGGTTTCTGAAAGGAATTTCTCCCCATCCTACCCAGAGATGCTGGGGATTGATGCCAGGACCTTCTGCATGCAAAGCAGATGCTCTACAATGGAGCTAAGGCTCTTTTGTTCTGCTTATATGAGCTAGCTGAAAGAGGTTCATATACAATGCCAGTGCAACCATGAATAATATTCTCCCCCCTCCCAAAGTGCTTTTGATGCTCTTATGTTCCAACATTTGTACCCTGTCTTTCTGCCAAGGAAACTCAAGACACTAAAGTTCCAAATCAGCCTTCCATTCAGACCTCAACCTGCTTCACTTCATCAAGGTTGCTGCAACATATGAATAAGTGCTGTTATTCAGTCCTGAATGAGAGGGAAAAGAAACAAGTTTCTACACTCCCAACCCTGTACTTGACAAGATAATACAGTGACAAAAGTAAGAGCAACATTTGCTAGAAGTTATCCTGTGTTTACTCCCTCCTGCCAAGAGGGATAGACAAATCTGTCAATTTTCAGATGTTCTGTTTTTCTTTTCTTTCTTTTTTCCAATCTTAATTTTAGTTTGTGGGGTTTTTTTAATTTTGAAAAAAATCCTTTTGAAAATTTACTTGCATTTTAGTGTGAACTTGTTCTAAAACTAATTTTTGTATGCAGTGTTGACACATATACACATTTTAAATGAATTTCCCGTGATATAATACATTTTTGTATGCTATTTTCACCAGTATCTGTACACTTTATTATAATGCACTTGTTTATTTGTCTGTTGTTTGTTTATATCCTGCTTTTTTTTTGTCTGACGGGGACTCAAGGCAGCTTACAGATAAAACAGAAACAGCTAAAAGAATGTAAAAAGCTATCTTTAAAAAAATTAATAGAATATGATCTATTAAAACATAAAGAACATCACAACCCAAGCCCTTTCCTTAAAAACAGTCAGTTCCCAAAAGCCTGTTAAAATGAGGAAGTCTTCACATGCTGGTGGAAGGACAAGGAGGAGGAAGCCAGTCTAACTTCTCTAAGAAGGGAGTTCCAAAGTGTGGGAGCAGCCACTGAGAAGGCCCTTTTCCTACCAAACACGCCTTTTTACACACACACACACACACACACACACACTGCTTGGCTGCAGAACTTCATTGCAAAATATATAAAATGAGAATTTCAAAGGATGACTCTTTCAGTTCACATGTTTTTCAGAAAGCACAAGTTTAATCAGTTTATCTTTAAATGTGAAATGAATCAAATTTCTGCCCCTTTTCTACCTGACAACCATTCCCTACAAAATCTATCATATGACCCAACCACCCACCTCCGCCAAAGCAATCCCTGGATTTACTTTTGATTTTATGACGCATTTGAAAATGCCCCTCCCTCTTGCTCTGCAATTCCCCCTTGGAAATGCTCCCTGCTTCTACATTTGCAATCCAAGGGAAGCACATAGTGGGTAGTCCCCACTCAAACTGGCTGTGCCAGCTCAAACAAGATCTCCCTAAGCAGTGAAATCATATTCTATTGACTTCAATTTTGAAGTCATTTGCTGTACCTGCCGGCAATGGATGCTGTCCATTTAGCTTAAATCCACACCATGTGTCAAAGACAACTGTTTCTATTTTGTAGCCTTTGGAATATTCATATGCACTTCAGCAATCCTGCTTTGTATCACTGTGAAATCCAAGCAACGCAGAAGCATTTTCTTGTGTCAAAACCAGTTTCCTAGCAGAATAAAGTTATTATTCAACACATCAACATCCACGGTCCAATCAAAATTACAATTTAAAAATGCAGCCATCATGGAAATGAATCAAATACAGTGTCACGAGTCCCATGGAGCTGTCTTGGATGGGGGTGGGAGGATGCCAAATAGGTGGCAGCAGATATCAGAGAGCTGGTGCTAGATGATCCAGATTGAACAGGTTGGGGGAGGTTCTATTTGTGCCTCAATAAGTGTCAAAGTTGTCAGGGCAAGTGATCAAGTGGGTCAGGGGCTGGATCCTAGAGAAGGTTTAATTGGGTTGTCCAAGAGGTGTTCCACCCCTGTGACATCAAATGCTTCTAGTCAGGCACCTCAAAGAGTAAAAGAACTGTAGAATTGGAAGGGACCACAAGGGTTACCTAGTCTGTCAGGTGCTAGTGTGGTTGCTCGAGAGCAAACAGGCAAGACTCTGACCTGTCTTTTCCAGGCTTTATTCTTAGTGTAAACTATTTACAGTGAAAAGCATCATAAATTCATGTCTGGCTCAATCGCTAGCAGAATCTGGGAGTGGTCGGTCTTTGTACCTCCCCCAGCATAAAAGTTGCGTGACCCCCAGCCTTCTCCACCCCTCCCTGCACTGAAACCTACTGCACAGAATGGGCGCTGGCAAAGGGGTACTTCCCTCCTCTCCGGTTTGCTCAGGCTCAGTGTTGAGGCTCTCCCTAGCATCCCCTGGTCCATGCACCTCCTCCCCACGGGAGGTGGGGCTTTCCTCCTCACCAGAGGAGGAACTGCTTTGGAAGATTTTCGGAGACTCCCTATAACACAACTGCCCTTCAACCTCTCGCCTCTGAGCTGATGGCAGTTCCCTGACATAGCCCAACCCCTTGCAATGTAGGAATATTATGCTCAGTGTGGGGCTTGAACCCACAACTCTGAGATTAAGAATCTCATACTCCACCAACAGAGCTATGCACCTCCTAAAGGGCCATCACCACTGGTCATTCCTGGGAGATGCATCTGAGAGTAAGCCAGATAGTGAGAAGGCACCTCCACCACCAAGGACACAGAGATGCTAGCTCTCACATGAACACACCTCACAGGCTTGCCAACTCTGAGAAGCACCTGTTTGCTTGCCCAGAGCAGGAATGCCTTCTATTTGCCATGTTAAAGCTTATGTCCCATCCCACTTGCCAAAGGGAAGAGGCAATGCGTGATTCTTTCCCAGCTCTATCTGGAGATTGAACCTGGGACTATTTCACATGGAAGCATGTGCTCTACCCCTGAGCAAGGAGACACAGGAAACTTCCTCATACTGATCTGCCTCTGTTTCCTTCCAATCTTCTGTTAACTGGGCCTCTCCCTTTGAAAACTCTCAAACCAAATCAGACCTTTGGCCCATGTGACTCAGAGTTGCTTACACTGATTGGCAGTTGCTCTCAAGTTTCAGGCAGGGCCCCCTCCCAACCCTGCCTGGAGATGCAGGGGGTTAAACGTGAGGCCCTCTGCATTCAAAGCATAGGCTGAATCTACTGGTAATGAGTTTTATTAATATGTAGTGAAAGTTCTATAAAACCATCTCCAAGAACCACCAATGTTCACAGTTCCTAAAATTCCAGCTCACATTCTCAAACATTACTCCTCTTGTTGCTTTTCTTTTCCTTATTTTTCCTTTAACAACAAAAAATGTGGTTTTCTTCTTTTTTCTTTCTTTTGTAAGCACAGAAAATCTAGTTTTCTGGTTTGTGCTCTCTCTCTCTCTCTCTGGTTCTTCAGACTATATCCAACATGCAACTACTCTCCTATGATGTAGAAGAAAAAGTAGGAGGACTGTCTGGTAGGTATTGTTGTAATTAGCAAGACTGCCTCCAGAGATGTAGTTTGATGTGAATATTGCCTATTGGAAATGCAGAGTGCGATTTCCCCAGGAATCTCTGCGGGAGCTACTTTTCAAAAGGGACTTGCACCGTAGATGTCCCTGGTGGTTTGTACCCTTTGAGCGTCATTGCACCAATGAAACATTTTGCTCATCTGCAAAGTACTGAACTTCCACAAAATTCCAAAAAAGCATCTTTTGAAGTATATGTGCTATCTTGTCATCAGTTTATATCTCTAAATTGCAGCTCTGGGTCTACTGGTACTTTAAAAGGACTGACTTGCCCATAAATGTCTGTAACATGAATATTTATTTTTATATCACTGCAGCAGATCAATATTTTCTATTTTTCACTTGTACAAACATTGTATCAGTGTGTGTGTGTGTGTTACTATTTATTAAATATATATCCCACCCTTCCTCCAAAGAAGCCCAGAGGAGCAAACATGTCAATATTATAAAAATACAATACAAACTTCTTAAAAGAGTGATATGTGTGTGTCCATATCCACACACACACACACACACACAGAGAGAGAGAGAGAGAGAGAGAGAGAGAAAGGAAAATTATGATACAAACAGAGAAGGAAGTAGAAACTGTTTGTCTGTGTACAGGAATGAAACTCAGTCAAGCAAATACAATGGGTATTAATTCATTTTTTAAAGTTTGCAAATGATACATAATCAATTAACTTTTTCTACATTGTTTTAAGATTGCATTGGAATGAATGTAACTTGCATAAGCTAAGTAAATAGTGAAGCAAGTTGTATAACTTATATTAAATAGTGGACAGCAGGACAAATAACATAGTATCTGGCAAAAATCAAACTGAAGCAGAATGGAAACAGCACTGGTTATGATGTGTACAGCTCAAAACAGAAACATCCCTATTGTGCACACACTTCCCATTTTTAAACAGAGCCAATTAGCATTGCTTCTGCCTCTTGTTCTAAAGCAGCCGGCAATAATAAAGAGAAATACTTCTGAATCCTGAGTGCCCACTGGGCATCTACAATCTCCCCCCACGAAGCTGGGAGAGAAAGAGCAGAGCTTTAGTTTTAGGGCAGTTGTCAGTCTGTTTTCTTTTTGGAAAAACTTTTTGATTCTCAAATATGATTTTGAAAGTTTTATAACTTACAGTTTACAGTATGATTCCCTTACTACAGCTAAACCTTATCATACTTCTTCATGTCTGGATGCATTCAGTCTATTTCACCACTGCTGAAAATGTACTGTTTATATTGCATTCACTTGCAAGTAGATGTAGTTCGGACCGAGAACATCATGGCAAGGTTTTGCTGTGGTAGAGGAGCAATGGTACAAGCTATAAAACTATCAAAAAAACATTTTGGGGTGTTCCACACCTGGCTGCATTTGCATGAAGTGTGTCTCACTGTGTTCAGTTGCATTTACCCTCAGTTTGTTTATATGACTGCAGCCTTAGCAACATTAGAGCCAAGTATGTTACAAAAGGAACACTTTAACAGGCTATTACTGCAAACCACAGGCCACTCAAGCTTGCTATTAAAAGTGGCTCATCCCCAAGAATGCTCTCTTCAAGCCTTTTGTGGTTCATAAATACTGCCCAGTGGTTGCTTTAGAAAGCATTTTTCCCTAAGGTTCCAATGCAAAGCCAGTTGGGTGGACTGAGCCTCAGAGAAGCACCTGATGATAGCCCTCACTCAGCAAGGAAGCTCTCCAAGCTGCTTCAAGGAAAGACGGGGTGAAAATGTAATCAGTTTGGTGATGCGAAGTTGCAAATGCACTGTTAATGGAATGCATAGATTAAACTGTATGCCACTACTTTATTTCCATTTGTAACTAAGTATGAATTAGTTGTGTTATTTTGTAACATCATGTGTTACCCAATCCAGTTTATTTTATTTGCAGCATTGCAATGCACAATAACAACTTCCATTGCAGTGAAGCAAAAACTGGCAATGAAATGTTGCTCATTCAAGTTATTCTAGATCTTAACTCTATCAACTGCGTATCTGCTAGAAATGGTGCTCTTATACAGCACAGCGTATTTGCCTTTATTCCTGAAAATTGCAAAATTATTCATATGTGTTCAGTTTAGCAGAAGCAATTGTTTGCAGCAGAAGTCTTGCCTGTAAATACTTCAAGAGAGCACATTCACATGTCCCTACTGAAGTGATAAGTGATTTCTTGAAATGTTTACCATTCTATCCTATGTAGACTTAAGATTTCAGTCCTATGAACAGTTTCCTGGGAGAAAGTCACATTTAACTCAGTGGTGCTTACTTGAGCAGACATGCACAGGACTTTACCATCAGGCTTCTAAAATAAAATGCTCCCCACCCCCACCCCCAAAAGACCCTTAGGTACAGCTAACCTTGTGCCAGAAGCTTCCAAAAAACTATCAGCAATTCAAATTAAAATAATCAGAAAAACTGAGCAACAATAAATATGCAGCAACTTATTGGGAGGGGAGGTAGTTTTGTTAACCAAGAGGCAAGTAGCATTCTTAATAAATAAAAATTCAGTTCCACCTATTTCTTTGACATATCTCTGTACAGTGTTCAATTCTGTGGTATAACAACTTCCAAAATTAGATGCCCATAATATGTACTAGATGGCCCTTGGTCTTTTAAACATCCAAGTAATGACATTTTAGCAACTACATAGAATATTTCAAGTATTTAGAACACTGAGGTTGCAAACCTAACCCATTACATTTCAAAGTAAGTCCTACTGGATTCAACAGGGCTTCCTCCCAGGTAAGTGGGGTCAGGATTTCCCTAACCTTAATTTAATAGGAGTGCTTACAACAGCCTAGTAGAAATGACTGGTATTATTATTGTAGATGGAGAGACTAATGCTGAAAGAAAGCTGGTTTACCTAAGAAGGCTGACTTGGAGCAGAGGACTTAGAGCTCACACTGTATGGCTGGGGTAACAGAGTTCTAGACAAATACCATGTTCAATGGGTGCGTCAAAGCAAACAAGCATAGAAATCACTCCATAGTCGATCATGAATTTGTTCAGGGTTTTGAAATGTTTCTTCATTCAGTTTCTGTCCTTCGTATATATTTTTATTGTCAAACTAGCAACACTAAGAACTAAACAAAATAAAAAACCGTGTGTGTGTAAACAAACACAGTGTGTTCAGAATTCTCCATTACATTACAAAACATTTAGTGATCTTTCTATATCTATGAACATAAAACTTTGGGCATGATCCAGCCACATTTGAGCACACTTAAGTTCCAAGTGGCTCTTGCATGAGAGGTTTAAAGATTTGCTAGCCTCTCCCACTGAACTCAGTGGAACTTGTCAGAGTTTAGCTTTGACTGGATCACGCTCTTAGTAAATGTGGGGAATTTTGGTTATCCTGAACTGTAAATGTAATGATCAACATTTAATTTGAGCCAAGCCGCATGCTCTACATGTTTGAATATGTTTCTTTAAAGGTCAATATTTATGTCAAACATGTTTCAGCAGTTGTCTAAATAACTGCCTGCCATGGAAACAAACATTCTCTGTAGTGCTTGCTTCTACAAAGGTTTCATTTGTCACACCACAAAACTCATGCCTCTCTGCCAAAGAAGTAAACCTGGGATGAATTGTAATCTGTAGCTTATATAGTATCATTTCAACTTGTAATGTGAACATATAAAGAAAAATGGCTAGGAAGCAGGAACAAGATGAAAAAAGGTCTGCTACAGCAGTATTTATTGAAAGCTTTTATACTTAGATACAATTTCTAGGGGGAAGCTAGAGAGCAGCAGTTCCATGCAGCTGCTAAAATCGCTTCTGATTTTTTTTTCTTTCAAAAAATGGTCTAGTTTTATTTTAAGAAATATGAACTGTTTCTCACACACACCACACTGGAATGATTTTGGGAACATATATTTTTACTACATCTTCCCTTTCAGAGCTCAGCATATGTGCAGTTGGAAACTAGGTATGCATCCCTTGGTACATGAGTATAAGGAATATGCCATGCATTTAATCGAATGCACAGGACTTTACAATAATTGATGCATTACTGCATTTTCATACATTTTTATTTCCTGTTTGTGGTCCTGCACCCAAGTGTGCAACTGCTCATCCTCATTATCATATCTTCCCCCACA